TTGATGCCTGCTTTTCCTGGTTCTATGGTGACAGTGTCAGACTCCTTCTCTCCTGCTCCTACTTCTACAGCACCACCGTAGCGAGGTGCCGAAGCTTGTAGAGGGTCAAGGGCTTGGGAGTTAAGGCTCGTGGCTCAAGGCCAAAGACATGGACTTCCAGAAGCTTGGACCGTGGGGGTTCAGGACTTGGGGTCAGGATCTGGACCTCATTTACAAACCCATACCCTCAGCTTCGTTGCTTCTCCTCTTGCTACTGCTCACCGCGCCCAAAACCTACAACATCGTGCAGTCTATTTTGCAGCACTAGCCAGCATGTAATTCTAGCGGGCTCATAGGCACCGCTTCGGCGCGAATGCAAAGGTTCCCCAGCTAAACCTCAGAAACGAAGGCACCATTTCTGCTACCACCCTGCTCAGACTCAAACAGTTCAAACGAGAAAGACTACTGGGGTACCTAGGGTATGCTACCAATCAAGCATGATCAAGCCCTTTTCGGCCTGAGAGATTATATATGGAGATGCTTCCGCCAGGGGCCCACATGAACGCCAAGGACTACGCCCTTACCAGGACCCGTGGCGGAAGAATTACAGGATTGCGTACATAAACGGAGGGAGACATCATGGGGCTGTATGCTCCCATAAAGGATGTCTCGCGACTCATTACCATTGGCTGCGATTGACATGGAGCAGCTCGAGCTTGCACATACGCTGCGGGCCGGACGATGTAGACCGTGACGGGAGGGGCTCCTCGCTGGAGTGCCTTCACGTGCACTGCTGGATGTTGGGTTGGGCGCGGGAATGCTGGGCAACGGCTCCGGTCGAGAATGGATGCAGCGGTGCTTGCGACCATCATTACCGGCTTTGGGATCGTCTTGATGTGGCCGCCTGGAAAGGGGTTGCATCGGTGATTATGTGGCTTCATAGGTCGTTGCAGGGTTCTTTGTGGGTACGATTCCAGAATGCAGGGTTTATTGATTGGGGCGCAGGCTAGTCTAGAGGGCTTCAGTGTCGTAGGGATAAGGGCTCGGGGCTCAGCTTGTGCAAGTTGGAACTTGCCAGCCTGCCACACTGCGACCGGTTGCATACGTCCTGGAAAGCTCACGTCCTGGGCCGTGGCCGACGACATACGAGTAGGAAGCCGCCGTTGTGCGCTGTGTGCGCTGTGAGCTGAAGGCGGCTGGCGCGACGGTCGTGGCTGGGGCGGGCTTGGGCACTTTGGGCACCTCGACTGGACCGCGCTTTGGTGCCTCCTTCGGGGCCAGCCAGCGCCGAAACTGCGTCTCCTCGTTCTCGGGGTGCCAGAGGTGGTTTTCCTTGCCACCAACATAGAGCTCCGGACACAAGTCCAAGACCATGTTGCGTGGGTTCAGACACAGGCCGTGTGCTTTCCCCGGAATTTGCACCGTGACCTGATGGCTCCAGATGGCTCAGGTTTTGAGCCAACTTCGGGACGAGACGCCGTCATGAACAGCAATGCGACATCACTGCATCTAAACAAATCTTCTTTGATGCCTGCTTTTCCTGGTTCTA